GTGTAACTAATTACTGTTGACAGGAGTAATATTTAAACTAATAATAAATTGCACTTTTGAGTATTGAGCCAGGCACTAGTGGCAGCTATGGCCCTGCTGACACGCAATCAAAAAACAGTAACCCATAATGATACAGTATACTACAAACATTTTGCAAACTTGATGAGACAGCTCCTGAAACAAAATTAAAACAAAGTACTTTTGTATTTTCTCTTCAGTTTGGCTGTATGATTGAGGTATGAGAGTGCACATATTGCCTCATTTCCCCTTAGCATAAAACAAGTAAAATATGTGGAATTTTTGTTTGCTAGCTGCAAAAACAGCATACTATAAAGATAATACAAGAAGTACAAATAATATTTAGTTAGGCATTGGCACTAACTGGGGCTGCAGCTAACAATTATTGGCGAAATGTTGATCAGTGTTACCTCAAGCCCAATGTGATGTTCTCAATTGTCTTCTTTTTCTCCACAACCCAAAGATATCAGAGAATTGAATTTTTAACTCGTAGGAGTTAGAAAAGACAAGATCTAAACAGTAAGATGGGTAAAAATGTGGCTTCAAACTGGATAAGAAGTCACATGTATGAAAGTTCTGGCAACAACGCCAATGCTGACGCAGGCACAAAGGGCAGGCGACCGGTGAAACGCAGTGTTACCTGAATAAAATGACAGATGGAATAATGGAAGTTCACAACTCAACTACATATACTGGTACATATACCTGGCTCTAGTGTTTATATATACATTTTAATGTGGAAATGTTATTATAACTTTAAGGTCACATCATATCCAAGATGGATATTAATGATCAGAAACATACATACATTGTACATACATACATCATCACATACATTGTAAAATTTAAATATATCTATATATTCATCAGTAAGAAATTCCAGTTGAAGTGTTCAGGCTTTAGATTGAATGTATTACTACCTCATTAGACACAGGGCAGTGTGTTACTGTATAAAATAAACCCTCAGTGAGAGAGAGGCAGTGTGGAGCTGTCCAAATCAACCAGCAGCTATTCTCCTGGTGGCCCAGACACAAACCTATTTTGTGGAGTGAGGTGAAGCGGTCACAGTATGTGCTCTTCGCTGCCACACCACACTAAAGAATCAATATTCCACTGGAGGGGAGATATGTGACATTCCCTGATGTTTACTCACAATGCAAAAGTACAACGAACAAAAGAGAGAGCACAGAGCGTGGTGTGGAAAAAATACAGAAGCAGAGGAAGTTCTAACAATTACCTCAGAGAATAGGGAAAAGAAAAAATAACAGATGGAGGAATTAGAGGTGGAAATATTTGAAGGAACATACATAATTCTATAGGAGCCCAGGCTATTGAAATTGTTTCAATTTGACATAATATTTCAGGAATTAGTGCTTGTTATTTATTTATTTAGTTCTTTTGAGGAATGCAAGCACCTCCCAGAAAAAAATGGTATATGCAAAACAAAGAGGAATATAATACTAATTAATAGCATTCTTTTTTTAATAGTTTTGTTTTTGCATTAAGTGAAAAAATACATGCAAACAGGACAATTTAAACATAGAAATACACATTGTGACACATTAATACACATAGAGACATACTCTACGAACTATAAAGTGAGGTAATAATCAGTTTAAAGGTACTTGCAAAATCTAATATCATACATAATTAAAACTTAATGAATGTTTACATCCTGTTTATAAAATTACCTGCTGTTTAAAGGTCTATAAAACTGGCAAAATATGGACATGCCTAACCACTTTGAGATGCAAATGACTGTAGTTGTACAGTATGTGCATTCCAATTGACCTTTCCCAAGTCCCGCCCCTTTTTGCTCTGTGCTCTAATAACAGTTGAACAAGCCTTGGTCAGAACCTCCGTCAGCTTCCTCCTCCTGTGCTTAGATCAAGCTGCAACCTCTTGAACTGGCAAATGAAGCCAACACAGTAACAAAAACTGCAGTTCCTCTAATGGCCACTTGAGGCTGGCTCCAGCAGTGAGTCAATCTCCATAAGGCCAGATATTATAATGCCTAACTTTACAGCAGAAATAAACATGTTTACAGCCTGGTACAAAAAAACGCTTTTGGTCTTTTTTGGTATAGCAAATTTCCCTGTTCATTACAACTATACAGGGGGTGAATTTTTATAACTCACTTGTTTCAATGATATTGAGACTTAACATTATGCATAATGCTCCACCTGTGTATAGTTTTTATCTTCTAACCGAAATCTTCAAAATGTGGTTGTCTTTTCAAGGAAGGAAGAAACGAGAAACTTTGGCTTGCTCAACTGTTATAGGCATACTTTACAGTGCTCATGGTGAATTTAAATGCTTACCATGGCAAATCAATGTATAGCCTACTAATGCATAATTAATAATCAGAAGACATTTGTGAATGTTTCCTTTGAAAAAATTATATTCCCATAACATTAGTTAACATAGTTAGTATTACCGCTGTCAATCATTGTAAAGCAGCTTCCACATCAAAATAAAAGGAAGAGAGAAGGAATGAAGAATACAGATTTTGTTCATAATATTTATCCTAAAGTCAAGGGACACTGAACTTGCAACCTTCTCTGATTTTTCATGGTGGGAATTTTAATTTGACTCACCATGAGCCCTGTAAAGTCTGCCTTTAATCATCTTTGGATACTATTTGGAGACCAACAGCAAATAAACAACAAATGTGCACATTTGGAAAAATCGATTCTCTAAGGTGTATTTTTTTATTTGGCAGAGGCATCTCTTCTTTAAAGGTCAAACAACGTAGATATGTTGGGTTGTGGTATGCCTTCCCTCATAGGCTTCAATAGAACTGGCACCATAGTCTGGTACCACATAGCATTAGAATTGTGTTGTTATGATGTAATGACCTTTCCTTCTTTTTTAGTTTCCTTGAGAGGACCTACTTCCTTTGCAGATAAGAATAGCTCATTGTAAGGTAACAAAAACATTTTCAGGTGATTATACACTAATGAAAACATACCTACGAATATTAAATTCTATTTCTGACAATGGATCTTCCTACCTTTACAGTACATTTCTGTACATATCTTCTTCTTCTTCTTAAACAATCAAGTTTTTACACTTTGGACCAAGTCAGAGATTCCTAGAGATAGAGGCGACAGTCCTGAACCTGCCTATTTCTAGGTAAATGCCTTTACATTAAGGCACGCAACATTTAATTACTAGGAAACATATCAGGAATGAATGAAGAACTAACTGCTAGTAAACAATAAGTTACTGAGCAATTTACTTTCTTTTACAACTTAATTGTAAAGTGTTATCAGACAAGGAAAGTATGACAAGCAACATTTTCAAGCCACATTGAATGCAGAGGCACTGCATTTACATTATATCTGCTTAACTCAGCCATCAGAACAGTTGTAGATCGTTTTGCTCCAGACACATAAAAATGACGAATAAAATGACACAAGTTTTATTTCTTGCTTAGAACTTGATACAGCCAACGTCATTACAGCACAGAGCCAAAAACTCGTAAGTGGCATGCTTCTATGCAACTGGATCTGTCTGTAACCTGTCACTGCAACTTCCTGGGGACCAAGTCAACTGCAGATTAGTGTCACAGCAGTTAA